GCTCGCCTTGAGCTGAAGAGCACAGGAATAGCACCCAGGCCCAGAGTTCAAGCCCCATGACCAACCAAAAAAAAAAAAAAAAACCAAAAGAAAATTACAGGGTAGTGATTGTCTAAGTAGGGTTAAGACTTAGCAGGGGATGTGTCCAACAGAGTCTGTCTCTGGAGTTGAAGGAAACACTGAGAAAACTTCAGGAAGAAAATCTGTCACTACCAGCTAGAATGTCACTGAACTGTGTCAAGGTTGTATGTAGACAGGTCCCTGCATAGTTCGCATCAATTGCAGAATGAATTATTTAAAAGAGGGGTAGTCGGTGCATAGGTTAGAGAAAAGATACAGTGCCACCCTAAAATCATGAGGCACATTCTTTCCCACAGGGCTTCTCATTTGATTCATTCAATGAGTTTACCTAGGAGGGCTTGGCACATGTCACATGCCAAGCTGCACTTCCCACAGAGAGGCTTTCCCTCTTTCCTGAGGATTCCTGAAGCATAGCTAGTAGTATGGAAAAAAAAATGAGATTAGTAAAGTGCAAGCTGGATCTACTATGGTCCGCTCTGGTCTGTTCCCTTCTAAGAATCACACACACACACACACATACACACACACACACACACCATACCACAGGTACTACATATATAAACCTAGACCACCAACACCACACAAAAACATACTTATATACAGTACACACAGATGCAGATGCAAAACATGCAACATTCATATCATACACAAACATATATCAGATAAACATCATACACAGCACATATACTATGCAAACTATACACATATCTATCACACTCAAACATATACTACATATAACACACAGCCCCAATACCATGAACACCACACAATCCAAATACACACACACACACACACACACACACACACACACACACACACACCCCTACCTGTGAAGACCCAACATGCACACTACCATCTTGCACTCAGACCCACCTGAGAACCTTGGTACTGGAAGACAGCAAAGAATGGGCTTAATCACTAAAGTAGACAAGTTATTCAGTTACTAAAGCCAAGAGTTTGAAATTGTGACTCAATTATTTCTCCTAAAAGGGAGATATTTTTAGAAAAAAGGTTT